TGCTGTGCATCTGCGACTGGCGTCTTCTAGTGGCAACATGAATTAATTATGCTGAAGAATTTCCAGTTGCCTCCCTAGCTAGTGCACTTCGGGTATTGCAGTGAGTGCTTTCGAGCGCAGCCCGTAGGGCGGGGCCGTCCCTGCAGCTCCTCAGACAACCCCTCCCGTTTTGGGGTACCAACTAATACTGCTTTATTGTGTTGATTGACTGTTGCGCAGTTGAACTTACCGGAGTTTTCCTAATGCTCTTCCCCCCCCGCCTTTTCACTACCTTGCCTGGATTCTAGTTTGCACAAGTAAGACCATTACAACGCTTCTCTTTTGCATGCTTTGGAATTTTGATTTTTGCATGCGGATAAATCTGCACCGCGCTTTGTTGTGACTGTAGCGAAGAGTTTTAAATCCCAGTCGTTAACCGCCCCCCTCTCCCCAACTTGTTGAACTCAGGGGGGTCTGATTTCAAGATGATTGTTGGGTTAATCAAGGTACGGGTGTGAAATTGGCGTGTGGCCCGGGGCAGCGTTCTCTCTCCCCGCACTAAGGCATGTAGCCGGAGCAGAGGAAAATGAGGAATTGGACGTTGGTTTTAGCAGGAGGAAGGTTTGGTTAACGGGGATTTCTCGCCCGGAGTGGGAAGAACAAAAGAGGAGCCTAAATCCAGGCTAGTGCACCCGCACGGTGCCCTGCCGAAGGCTCTGCTGGCTGCGTGGCAGGCGCCCCGGGGTAACTGGCATGAAACGGAGCAGACTCGCTGTCCTGCTCTAATATAAAGGGGTGTGCCGGTCCCAGAATGCAATGTAGCCTTTCAAAGATGGCACCCAGCCCAAGTCCCCCTCCACCTCCTGCCATGGTTACTGCAGCCTCCTCTTCTCTGACACCTGCACCCTCCTGGGACGCTTCTCCTCCCGACCATGCAAACCAACCATCTTCCTCGCCTGGGGATCGGGCCACGTGCCCCCCTCCCCTGAGATTTCCCACTGCCCCCCACTCGCCCACTTCATCGAGTTCAAGCGCAGTCGGCTGCTGCCCCTGGCCGGGCACTAGCCCTTGCTGTGTAGCCCCGACGGCTGCTGTCCCTGGCCGGGCACTAGCCCTCGCCACGTAGCCCCGTGGGCTGCTGTCCCTGGCCGGGTGCTAGCCCTCGTCCGGTCAGCCGATGGCTGTTGTTCCTGGCTTTCCTCATCCTACCCCCTTGGGCGTCACGCCTGAAACGCGATGGTAAGATGCTTGGGGCTTGGCTCTCTGTGTCGGGAGGCAGCCGGGCATTGTTATGACGACACAACCAGACTGCTTGGGTCAGACTGTAACGTGGCATGCTGGGACCTGGAGCCTGCGGGCTGCTTTACTGTTAAACTGGCAACACAGTGACAGAGAATGAAAAAAACCCCTAGAAATCCCGTCCTCTGGTGAAACAAATCAGACTGAGGCCTACTTAACAATTCTGCTCTCCAGGTGCTGCCATGGGGAGCCCAGGTGACAGCTGGGGCAGGACACTGTCCCTCAATTTGTAATCCCTGCAAGTTGGCCCGCTGGGGTCTGTGAGGGCCCGGCGTTGGGGGTGGTTCTTGGTGGGCGAAAAGGACCCTGTGTTTATTTCTGACAATCAGAACGAACAGTCAATCAGGCGGTTTAATGACCTCCAGCGAAGGGATTAGTGTAACCTCTAGCCTGTGAAATGAGCAGTGGTAGAACCTGGGTAGCCCGGCATGCCCCGTCTGGCCACCCGAGTCTCTGGGGGAATCCTCTGAATGATTGAGGCGCCGTGTGGGGCCCGTTTTCCAATCCGCTGATTGCTCTGTTGGTTTAATGGCGATCGTCTCTCCGGGTGAGTACGTTCCAGCTGCGGGCTGGCTGGGCGCTCTGGAGGTGAAAAGCCCACCGTATCCTTTTGGACTAGCTTTCCCTTTCACATCCCCCTGTTTTCATGGCAGCCCCCGGAGCCGGCTCGCCCTGAGGAGGAGAAATGGTGCTCTTAATCCCTTCCTCCCCCGAGAAATGACTCGCGCTCCTCACCGGCTGGGTAAACGCGGCTCTCCCTGCGGCCGTTCCCGCACCGCCACTGTGGGTGGCTCCGGCCTTTGTCTAGGAGGTGGAGGGTGTTTCTCCGCATGTCATCTCCACTGGGGAGCATCCCGTGAGCCTGTGTCGCTCTGGCCTCCGGCAGAAGTCTCCTCTCCTGAGGAGCGTGCATGGATTTTGTTGTTCCAACGGATCTTTTAACTAAAACCCCTCCCCCCCCCAAAAAAACCTCCAGATGGTAGCCACCGATTCTGGGAGAGAGTCTGGTCTACTGGTTAGAACAGCTGGGGCCCGGGAGCTGGGTGTTCACAGCTCTGACTGTGACTGTAGGCAAGTCAGTGCCCCGTTTCATATCTCCCTCCATTAGCCCCATGGGACATTTCGAGGGAATGGGGGGTGTTGTGTGCATCACACCTGAGCTCGGCAGTTGCTGTTGTGTTCCCTCTGGGAAGGGCTTGGGGTGACGGCCTGAGGAGAAGGTGCGGAGGTCGGGGGTGGGCCAAAACACCCTGCAAAAGGTGCCTCGGGGGCACCTCTGATTAGCTTGCTGAAAGCTGGACCCTTTGTTCCCAGTTGCTCAGTGGACGGGGTCTCAGCGTGGGCCCCAGAGGCCAGGCGGAACGACCCTAGTTTAAGCCATGGCTAAGTGCTGCTGATCTCTGAGGGCATCAAATGGCCCCTCTGACTTCCTCCCTCGCTTTGGTTTGGCCGAGCAGCCGCTGCCCTCCTGGGCGCTCGGGGTGCGGATCCAGGGTGGCTTCAGGCTCCTTGCTCGACTCCCTTGTCTGCGTGAAGAAGCAGCCCCAGCGGTGAGTGCAGCTACGCCACAGCTCCCCTCGCCTGGCTGACTGCAGTGTGTGGAGCCAGCCAGGTGCCCCCAGCAGCAGCATGGATCCGGGCAGGGACCTGCTGTCGCTTTGCCCCTCCCGGTGGCCAAGTCAGGCAGGTGTCAGTTCGGAGGTTTCCCTCTCAGCTCCCCCTCCCCAGTGTCTCAGGCTGGGGCCCCAGCTTCCCCTCCCCAATCCGGTGGCAGGTGGGTGCTTTCCTGGTCCCCCGAGGATGCCTTGGGATACTGGCTAGTCTGAGCCCTTTCCCCTCCTCCCCTATGAATGCTGCCGTCCACCTGTACGTGGGGAGACCTGGGAGGGCGCAGCATCACTGCCACCCAGCCGTAACCGGCTGGGCCAGTGCTCCCGCAAGCCAGCTCCCCCAGGGCCTGAAACGGCTCCTGAGGCTGGCACATCTGCTGGGTCGGCAGCTCCATTGGCTGAGCCGGTGCGGACTTCTCTTTAGCATCTGGCTAAAAGACCAAAGGAAGAGTCTTTAAGCCTGAACCGTTGGAGGCTCTTAGCCGAGAGCTGGGGGGCACCTGGCCCCACGCCACGGGGGTGTCATCGTCCGCAGACGGGTGCTGGCTCCATTCCAGGCTTTGGCTCTCTCCAGTTCTCTGATGTCGTGTTTCCAGGGTGTTCTCACGAGCTGGGGTGAAGCTGGTGCACAAGGCAGGTCGGAAGCCCCCCTCCCCCCCCGGTGTCCTCTTCATCTTTTCTGTAGACCTGCTCCTACCCCGGCAGCAGGCACCGGATACGTCTGAAGGGGGCCGGGCTGGGGGATGGCAGAGTTGCCCACCCTCTGCAGAAGGCAGGTGGCGAGGGCGTTGGAAAGAGAACGCTGGCAGGAAACCCCTCCTAGCCTCCCCAGGGTGAAGCAGTACCTCTTGGCAGTCCAGGTGCGAGGCGATTCTGGGTCCTGTCTCGTGCTATGCTCCAATTCCAGTGGCTTGTAGAGCAGGTAATGCCTAGCCCCCTTGACCAGCCGCACGCAAGCCGGCTAGCGGAACTAGTAGCCAGAAGAAGGCATCTCCTTAGAGGTCAGGCAAATGCGCCCCCCTTTGGCTCTCCCCCCAGGCTGGCTTGATTCAGGTGCACCGCTTGGCGTTCACTGAGGCCCCATCTTGGTTTTCACCCAGCTGCCCGGTTGGTTGGCTGAGGTGGAAGGAGGCCAGCGGTTTGGCTCCCGGTGACTCGGTGAAGGATTAGGCAGGGCTTGAACCCGGGTTTGTTGTGACCTCTAGACCACAGCCGGCCTCCTGCTGCCCTGGGGGAACAGCCATCGGGAGAGCAGCAGAACAGAAAGCAGAGGGTGCAGAGATGCTGGGCACCAGCAGCCCCCAGCCTGGCTTTCCTGGGGCTGGCGGGAGAGTGTCCTCCAGACCACAGCTTCAGAAATGGCCTCCTAGAGATGATGGGGGTGGCGAGGCGGAGAATTTCCCTGCTGCTGCTATTAATGGCTTTGGAAATGTCAGCCTAGCTGCCCGCCTAGGCGGAGGGGCTGCTGTGGAAAGCCCCTCCCTGCCGTGCCCTTGCATCCGGGCGCCTGCCGGGGGGGGCGCCCCCCCCGGGGCGTCCCCTGCGGGGCAGGGGGGTTTTTTTTTTCCCCGGGGGGGGGGGGGGGGGGGAAGAGCTGCCTCTGTGCGACCCGTCAGACTTTTCCACAGCTCCCCCTCAAAAGCTCCTTCCCGTCCCGCTGCTACCAGGGGGCACCATCCGCCATTGCAGCTCAGTGATCTAAGCCCCCGTCCGTGCACACGCCAGCCCGGGAACGGCCAGCCGTTCAGAAGCTAAATTCGCTGGGGCCCCGCAGCGGGAGACGATGGAGCCCCTGGGCGCGCTCTGCCGGCGTGACTAACACACGGGTGCCGCTGGCTGAATCCCGCTGCTCCACGTTTGTCCGCTCCGAAGCTCCCCAGAACCTCGTAGCTGCTAGGAAAGCGGCAGTGGTGCTAGTGAACTCCCCTGCCGCGGGCCGGCTGCTAGCTTTGCGAGATGGGGGGGCCCGTGCGTGGGGACTGTGTAAACTGGGGTGTAGTGCATGTGACAAGCTTCTAATACGATTTTTGTCTTTTTCTCTTCCCCCCCCCCCCCCCCCTTCCCTGCCCTCCTAACTTTTCTTTGACTTTCTCACCTCTGGGAAAACGCAAGGAGCTGGTAAGGAGCCTGACCTCTCGTCTGCTTGAATGTTCCGCTGAGCGAGCAGCTGCTGTAACCTTTTGTCTTTACCGACCCTCGGGCACCAGAGCAAAACTTGATTGCTGCCCCGCCCCCCTCCCCTTGCTGGGGGTCCCGTAGCCAGGCTGTTCCCATCACTTCTAACCACTGGGCATTATTACTCCCCAGCCCGAGACCAGCGGCTCCCAAACGCTCACGGTTCACGCTCTGAAGTCAATGGGCCCGTCAAGCTCACGTGCGGCCTGCAATTTGGGAGCCCCTGTCCTGGCCGGCACAAAAGGTCCGAGTCACCGTTCGTGATCTCAAATGGTCGTTACTGGCGCCTGCCCAGCCAGCAGTCACGAGGCCTCCTTTCCCCGGCGTTCCAAACGCCCCCCCCAGCCGTTCATCGCAGCCCCACGTGCTGGAGGCTGAATTCTGTAACGGCATCTAAAATAGAGCAAACCCGGATTCTGCCCCCCCCGCGTTCCAGGACAGGGGCTGGAGAAAGCAGCACGGGGCTAGCTCTGAGGAGCGTCCCCTTCATTTTAATGGCTGCTTGGTGCCAATCGGGTCCAGTGGGCGAATCCATCTCGAGGGACTGAAACTGATCGCTGCCCCTTGACTCCCCAGGCCTGGCCCGGGCCCCCGTTGTGCTAGGACCGAGAGATGGCCCCTGCCCCAGAGAGCTTCATGATGCTCAGTAGCAGATTTTTCCAATATTAATAACTTGGCTGTTTAAAAGGGTGCCAGCTTTAAAGCCTTCAGCCCATTCGACGTAACCTAACGCGAGCAAGCGTCTCAAACTGGACAGCTCCCGGGGTTTCCCTCGAATGGCGAGATTCAGCCCAGCGAGATTGGCCAGGGCTGAGGTCGAAATGCCCTAAAACCAGTAGGCACCCTGGCAGATTCTGAACGTGGAGGGACCATTCCCCGGTGGGGACAGTTTGGGTTTGTAACCTACTTCGGGGGTCCCAGCTGCCTCAGATCCTCTGTTTAAATGTTAGGGGGTTTTACAAGCCGGTTAGTTACCGTGGAGTGCAGAGCAGGGCAGGGTCCCGGGAACCAGGCAGCCCCGGGCGAGAGATAAAGACAAAAGGTTTCTCTTTAACCTTGATTAACCTGCCTTTGGTGTTCTCCTAGCACTAACCCCTAGGCGGGCGGGTTTCTGGCTGGCACTAACGCTCTCTGTGCGCGGGAGAGGCTCTGCTCTGGGTCTGACCCTCTGAAACTGCCTGGTGACTAACTCACCCTCTGAGCACTGAGCAAATCCAGGTCAGCAGCCCCCAGCCTCCGCACAAATCCCTCCGCCAACGTTCAGGCCTGCGTCCGAGCCTAGGCCAGTGCAGGAGGGGTAGGTTCCTGTGCCTGCGTCTAGCGCCCCCCCCCCTCCCCCCGGGGCCTGCCCCATCTCCTAACCCCTGGAGAGCTCCATGCCCAGGGGCTGCCCCGTTCTGCGAGCCAGGCCGATCGCCAGAGACTGGCTTGTTCCCAGTGCGGAAGTCAGACTCTCATCATCCCAGGGCTGGCCCCCTGCGGGCCGTTAGGGGCGAGCCGAGGGCTGGGCTCCGTGTGCCGAGATCGAGTCCTGCGCTGGGAGGCAGGAGTCGCAGCCGGAGAGTTTGCTGGGGCTTCCCTCCTGATCTGCCGCGGGGGCAGCCCTCTCTGTGCAGCTCGGTGCCCCAGCCGTGTGCTCCAGGCCGTTTCCTTCACCCTGCCTGGCCTGGGACTCTCGAGACCTCTGGGGTCGGAGCCCCGGTTCTTTTCACGGCTTCAGGGCGATCCAGCCACCTGTTCAAACTGAGCCGCCCCCCTGTCACCTGTACAGGCCCAGGGCCGGCAGCGAGGCATGGAGCGGGGGATCCCACCCAAATGCTCCCTGCGGCTGCAGGGCTGGGTCCCGCTGGCTGGGGGCAGCCATGCGAAGCGACTCCCCAGTGAGCTCTGAGCAGGACCGGCCCGGGAGGAGAATTGTGCAGGGACCCCTAGTGAGAGAGAGGCCAAGACAGGCTGGGGTGAGTGACCCCTGCTGGTCGCACAGGGGATGCGGCCCAAGAGGCTCCTCTAGCCCTCGGGGGGCCACGTCTCGTAAGGAACAGCTCAGCAGGTCTATGATACCGAGAGCCAGTCACCCCAACCCAAGGTGACCTGTCAATCCATGGCCACGTCCCGCTGCTCGGAAATGCAGCAGGGCGTCAGCCGCTGCGTTGACCGTCTGCGTCTCCTCTTGGTTGCACCACGGTTTGCTGGCGGGAGGGGGCGTGGGCGGGGGGTTGAGTGAGCGTTCGTGGCCTGGCGGCTCTGCTCCCTCTCTGCCTGTTGGTTGGGAGCCCCCGGATCCCAGCGCAGCGTCTTTGCGGGTAAAACCCTCCCCGAGTCTGTCGCTCAGAATGGCCAGTCTGCAGAAAACGATTTTCCGTATTGATTTCCGTGTCAGCATTTACAAAAGAGCCGGCCCTGCAAGCCCACGCCCCGCGGGGCCGCCCCCTGCGGTCCTCTCGCGGCCCAGGGCTCCTGGCGAGGCTCCACAGGACTGGCTGGCGCTAGCGAGACCCAAGAGCATGTTAATGTTATCCTGTAGCTCCCCCCCTCCCAGTGATATCAGAGCCCCCCTTTATCTGCAGGGACTTCGGAATAGCCCCCGAAAGCTTGGGCCAGAGGCAGGGCCTGAGCTGAAGGCTTTGAAGCTGTGGGCATTGAGCAGGCCTGGCTGGTTTGCACGCCTGTCACCAGGGGCTATTTAAAGGGGGCCCAGCCGGGCCCCAGCCAAGTTATTAACATCTGGTGGACTCTGCTCCTTCCCGGGGCGAGGGCAGCCGTGCGCCTCCTGCAGCGCTAAGGGCCCGTTGGAGGGCGGGGGTGTCCCTAGGGAAGTGCTCTCAGCTGTTGGGGGGGGGGGGGGGGGGCGGGTGGTCCCGGGGTCTCTAACGCTGGCCTGTCTGCGCAGGAGGAGCTGACGAGCACCAGCGTGGAGCACATCATCGTCAACCCCAACGCTGCCTACGACAAGTTTAAGGACAAGAGAGTGGGCACCAAAGGGCTCGGTAAGGCTGGCCCGGGGGGCGCCCGTCTCCTGCATCGCTTGGGAACAGTGGGAGGGGAGGCACCAACCAGAGCGACTGGCCGGTGGCAGAAGTGAACCGGGGGCGTCGCTGTTGTGTCCTTTGATTGGTTTGCGGGTGGGGGGGCACCCAGAGCGGCACAAGCTGCTGCCTCCTGTCCTACCCCAGCTGCCCCAAGTCCTTACGGAGAGCCGGGGAGCACTGAGCGTGCCCAACGGGGGAGCCTCCCATGGGGGTCGTGGCCCAGCGCCCAGCCGGGGGCTGGTTTAACGTCCCCCGAGCAAACTGCTCTCTCCTCTCCCTCTGCAGACTTCTCGGATCGCATCAGCAAAGCCAAGCGGACGGGCTACGAGTCGGGGGAGTTTGAGATTGTAAGTAACCGGCCTGGTTCTGTCGCCGTCCCGCTCTGAGGTGCGCATGGGGAGGAGGGTACTGGGCACGCTCAGTGGAGAGAGAAGAGCTGAAATCGGCACCTTCGTCCTCCCGCGCGTCCCCCGAAGGGAAGTTAAACCGTCCCCTGAGCCCAAGGGCCCTGGAGGCCAAGCTGGGCTCCCGCCCCCCCCCCTCCCGAGAGGGGTCTCGCCACTCCCTCCCCTGCTGGCTGCCTGGGCAGGGACCGGACTCCACGACCTTCGGGCCCAAAGCGGGTGTGACGGGCTAATGCCCCTGCCTGCCTTTAGCTGGTTTCTCGAAGGCTTTGGCTGTGCTTGCCACTGGCCCGGGGGGGAAGGAAATGCCCCTCCCTTGGAATAAAACCCAGCCGTGGTGAACCCCCTGGCTCCCCTCCCTCTGCCTGAGCGAGTGTCGCCCGCTGGGGAGCACACGGGGAGGGGCTGCGGAGCAGGAGGTATGGTCACCCTGACGTGACGACGCTCCAGCACTGGGCAGGGCGTCAGGACCCCTCGTGGCTGCTGGTGGGGAGCATGTGGCCCTCAGGAGGTGTGAATTTGGCTCGCTCAGCTTCGGCGGGCCCATTTCAGGTCCTCCTCGGCTCTGAGGCTGGGTTTCCCATCAGCCTCCGGGAGAGAGGCACCCAAACCCAGCCCGCCACCCCCGGGCCCGCAGAGGGAGCCCCCTGCAGAAGCCGATTCCCCGTTGCAGGGTTAGAATTCGTTGAACCAGAGCGGAGGGGCCATGCGATCTAAACCCCTCTGTGTCATTAGCTAGGGGAAGGCATTGGTGTGAAAGAGACGCCCCGGCAGAAGTACCAGCGGCTGCTCCATGAGGTTCACGAGCTGAGCACAGAGGTGGAGAAGATACAGGTAGGAGCCACCTTGGGCGTCGTGCGTCGCCCCCATTGGGTGAGGCGTCCAGGCCGTGTCCCTCCGGTCTGGTGGGAGGCAGTGGTGTCTGGTGGGCAGAGCACTGGACTCTGGTTCTGTGCCCAGCTCTGCCCCTGACCTTGGCCAAGTCACTCCACCCCCTCCGTGCCTCAGTTTCCCCATGTCAAACAGGGAGCCCTTTGAGATCTACGTCTAGATCCGATTGCTCCCCGCCCGTGCCGCTGGCTGGGAGCAGAATTGTCAGAGCCTTTAGCTGGGAGGCGGGGGGTCCCCGTGACCGCAGAGCCCCACGCCCCAGCTGTAACGCGGCAGCGTCTCCCTCTGCAGAGCACCGCGAAGGATTCGGCGGCAGAGGAGAAGCTGAGCCCCGTGGCGCTCGCCAAGCAGGTCGTGGCCCTGAAGCAGCAGCTGGTCTCCACGCACCTGGAGAAGCTCCTGGGGCCGGACGCAGCCATCAACCTGACTGACCCCGACGGAGCCCTCGCCAAGTGAGCTCGGGTCGGCTGCTTCCCCGTCCCAAGTGTCCCTCAGCGAGGGAGCGTTTGGAGCTGGGACGTTCCCATCCTGGGCCTCAACCTCCTTTGTGGCGACTTCTCCCCATAAACCGGGACCAAATCCCTGGCCTGCCCTGCTCTGGCAAGTGCCCGAGGCCGTATTGTGCCGGCAGCGTGGGGGTGCCCGGGGTGGCGGGCGAGAGAATTCAGCCCCAGCACCTCCTGCTGGAAAGGGGCCAGCGAGACCTGCTGACCCCTGGGCAGGTGTGCGGGGCTGGGGCTGAGAGGGAGCGTCCTCTCCTGAGCTCGGCGCCGCTGATCGGAAATCAGAGACCGGCTGGCCCCCCACTCCCGGGGTGCTGCAGTCAGCCGCCCCTCGGCTCCCGGGGTGCGTTTATTCCTGGGCGGGAGCTGCCTGCGTCTGGTCGATGACGGCTTAGCTGTTCACCACGGTGGGGATGGGGAAGGATTAAAACCGAGGCCGATGGATGAGAGATTGAATCCACCGGGCTGTAGCTGCCTTGGCGAGCCCCAGGGGTGGTCGCGGCGAGGGGCGTTAACGGGCATCACTGCAGCCTGGCCCGTTCCTCGCTGGGCCCACGAGGCTGGCGTCTCCCGGTCCCCATTAACCCCGCCGGAGCAGCAGGGCCCTGTTACCTCCCAGCTGGTGACCGCCCCTCGCAGGCCCTGGAAACCAGCGGGGTCTCTTCTGTTTACCAGGCGCCTGCTCATTCAGCTGGAAGCGGCTAAGAGCGCCAGGGGCACCCCCGGGGCAGGGAAGAGCCCGTCGAAGGCCCCTGCGCCCGCAGGGAATATGGTGACCTATGAGCTGCACTCGAGACCTGAACAAGACAAATTCTCTCAGGCTGCAAAGGTGAGGCTGGGGCGGGTCTGGGTTCGGAGTTGTCTGCCAGGCAGCAGTGGCCATGCGACAGCAGAGCTGCGGGCAGGACTGGGCACCGGGAACTCCTGGGATCTACCCCGGCTCTAGCCTGGACGATTTAGCTCTTACGTCACTTAGCTGGCGTGCCTCAGTTTCCCCCATCTAATGCTTATTTACTTGCCCCCTGGGGGAGGGGGGTGTTAATACTTGAAAATACCAGCCAAGTTGTTTGAAAACCTGCTCCTGAGCCCATAGTAACATCACCGGGAAGATCTGTGGGGCAGGGCCCCTCTGTTCTGTGTCAGGGTATGGGGGGGCCATGCGCAGATGGTTATTTCTTGCCTGGCCTTTGAGGCTGGAAACCAGCTGGCTCCCTTGCCCAGCTTCCCGTGGGGGCCTGTTGGGTCAGACTCTGCCATCCCCCTGCGCTGGGAGGGCTTTGGCGGGCCAGGGAATTCAGAGGCTGCGACGAAGGGTCTGGGGGCAGCAGGGAGAAGGAAGCGGGGGATGGCTTCTCGCTCTGGGGTGCCACAGCTCAGCACAGGAGCGAGCTGCCGCCAGCGACTGTCCTGGTGGCTGGATCGCACCCGCCGGCGGAGCCTTGGGCAGCAGCTGGGCCCGGGCAGCCTTGGCGTCTCTTGCTGCTCGGCCTGCGCGGAGCTCTGAGCGGCCACCTGGGCTTTCTGGGCAGCGAGGGAGCCCTGCAGCGAGGTGCCGTTCCAGCACCACGTGCCCAGCCTTGCGGGTCGGGGAAGCAGGGCATGCTGGGGGCATCGCTGACCTCTCCTCTCGCCCGTTGCTCTAGATAGCGGAGCTGGAGAAGCGGCTGAGCGAGCTGGAAGCCACGGTGTGCAGCGAGCAGGACAGCCAGGTGAGCGCCCTGCAGGGGGATCAGGCTGGGGCGGCCGTCCAGCCCCCCAGTGCCTGGCGTGGGCGTAGTGCCCAGGGCCGGGCTGCTCTGAAATCCAGGCTCCCGGCTCCACACGCTTGCATTCTCTCTTTCTCCTAGAATCCCCTGGCGGTTGGGCTGCAGGGAGCCAGCCTCATGGTAAGCCCGAGTGCTGGGGCCCGGCTGGGGAAGGGGGTTTGTTACGGCCTCGCTGGTGTCCTGTGGAGCACCGAGACCCAGGGGGGCTGTGGGCCGAGGTTCCTTCCCGTGCCGGAGGCCGCGTTTCCGAGATTGGTCTGGGGGGATGCAGCCTCCCAGGGTGACATCTGGCTTCCCCCGGTCTCAGGTGGGGCGCCCGAGCCCTGCCCCATGAGGGACGCTCAGCGCAGCCCTGGCCGGGTCGGGTTCTGCTGGGCACGGTGCAGGCGGTGAACTCCCGCTGGCCGCTGCCCGGGGTCGGCATTCGTGTGTTTCAGCCCGTTCCTCCTGCCCGCAGGAAACCGTGGAGATCCTGCAGGCCAAAGTCAGCACCTTG